GCCACGCAAGCTAAACAAGTGTTCTATATCACTGATCCGACAAGTACGAAATGGTCTATAGTTCTTTTTTCCAACAAAGTAATCGATGATAACACTGGAGAAAAGGGGGATGTTGATGTTGAGAATGAATCTTATATTATAGATGATCTAGATGAGAATATTAGAGCGGACGAATCATATATTAGAAATGATCATAACGAGGGAATTTGGATCAATCCATCTGTCCGTGTTGTTAAGAGACAAGTAAACCCCGTTAAAACGAAAAAAAGAAAGAGATGTTAAAGGTACTTGTAACATATTATTTCTTATTTATACCATGTGTTTCTTATTTATACATTTCTTATGTATATATTTGTTATTTACATATTTGCATGTCATTCATTTGATACTTTGGTTTTTCTGAATTACAGGTATATATATTATGGCCAGCAACGAGGAAACATCACATGATGGAAAACAAACAACAAAAGACGTGGAAGGCGATATTAAAAGAGGCATAACGATTATGAAAAAAAATCATCCGTACGAGAGATAAAGGAGTAAAGTATGATGTCCATTGGAATGAAAGAGATCAGTTAGTTGAGCCTAACGGTGCGTTGCTAACAAGTTACATCGGAGCACTTGTACGTTCGCAAGTTCCGATTACTTGCGATAATTGGAGAATTGTTTTATTACAACCGGCTAAAGATAAAATTTGGAGCGAGATTTAGGTATGATATTTGATTAATTTTAATTATGTTGACAGATACGTCTTTAAATTAATTAGACTAACATGTTTTATGTATGCGTGTTTAGAGATCTTTTAATATTGAAGATCGTAGGAGAAAATATTGTATTCAATTGGCCGAAAAATGCTTGAGGGGATTTAGAGCGTTTTTAACAAACAAGTTTCTAAAAGATTATGAAGGAAACTTTGTTGACTCGGAGCCTCCAATGAAGTACGCGGATTTGATTTCAGAGGAAGAATGAGAGACGTTTGTTGCAAAGCGAAGAATAAAAGAATTTGAAGTAAGTACAACCTATCATGAACTATGTATAATATATATACTTCTTCCACAAGAGTTCTGATAAACTTGTTTTTTCAGGTTGTTAGTGGCGTAAATCGTCAACAGGCATCAAATCCCGCATTATCCATACAGAAAGGGGCGTTTGGGATATGCACGCTTAGAACAAAAAATAGTAAGTACATATAAATGCTTTAATATGATATATTTACAAAAAATAGTAAGTATATATAATAGGATATAATTCTTTATTATCCGTCTTAATGCGTAGTTGAAAGAGGAGAAGAGTGATGCGACATCTCTTCCAGACCATGTTGTATGGAAGGCTGCCCGTGTGGGAAGAGATAGAGTCGTTCAGGAAGAAGTTCAACAAGTCTTTGAACAATGTGTAAGTACAACGTTATCTTTGTCAGTAACTGATCAAAAGTGTATAATATATTTATATATGTTTTTATCTATATTTCAGGAGACTCTATCCCAGACCATAACTCCCGCTGAGGACGATGATTGCAGGAGCTTACTGAGTCGGGTGTTGAATATTCTTGAGTATTCTGGGCGTGTGAGGGGTAAGGGATTTGGTGTCACTCCATCCAAACTGTATAAGCAGCCAAAGAAAAAAAATTCAACCAATAAATAAGTGATGGATACTTTGGAGGAATTGAAAGCGCAGATCCGTGAATTACAGAAGGACAAGGAGAGATACATGTCGGAAAGACGCGTTCCAAAGGGTAAAGCTACTAGTGACAAAGATAATATCGATTGTCCGCAGAAGCTTCTAGAGGTAATTGTATATATTACATTGAAATTAATTTAGCACAGTTTACTTAATTGACACATTAAATGATCATTATTTGTTTAGGGCATTTCACTTTTCCGGCTATATTTATCGTCACCGACTCATCGAATGGTTGGCAAGGGAAAGGTGCATAACTTTCTGGGAGACTTACTTCACCATAAACCACTCCCTTCTGGATTTTTGAAAGTATCTATTGATATTGCGTTAGAGGGGGTGCATTGTTGTCTATACCAGATGATATTTCAGGGGCAACAGTGGTGGGAGACGCAATAGGAGCGTATGTGGCATGGCCGACAAATCTCATTTGCATAGATGATGAGGTAGGTTGAACCTTTTAATACTCAAATGTTTTATGATCTAGACATGAAAGTTATTCTTACATTTACATTTTCTTATTGACATGATGATCTTAGACTCCTACAAAATCCAAATCAAAAGATGATAGAATTATTGTGCGGGATACCGATTCAACTGCATCAAAGAAACAGGTACTACTACAGTTACATGATTATCTTGTTATACATTAATTACTGAACTTATATATGACTTTTAGGTTCATGATCAACAGTCGCAACAAGTCAGTAAGGGTAAGATGCCTGAAACTTCCAAGGTGCCCAGAAAAGCATTTGTTCCTCGATTTAGGATGTGCCTTGAAACATATGTGGGAACATCAGATGTGCCTGAGGGTGGCATCCGTCAAATACATATGGACGGAGGTATTTTTGGTTTTGAATATCCCGAAACAATTGCTAAGGAGGATTTTAATCAGGTTTTCAACCATTCTGAATTGGGCGTCGGTGTTATGCATTCATACATCAGGTACTTCGATCCATTTTAATTAAATAATTGAACATTTTAAAATTTGTTCGTTTAACTGAATATTCTAATGTTGATTATGTTTTTTTAGGTTCTTGTATGACAAGTTGTTGGTCCCGAATGAATTGACTTCAGTATTCGCATTCTTATCTGCTAGCTGTGTCAACTCACGGATAATAGACCAGACACCAGATACAGTCAAAGAGTACACAGTGCAGAGATTTATGGGCGTGACTACAGAGAAGTTGTTCTTGTTGCCATATAATACTGGCCATGGGTTAGATTTTATTCTAAAAAGCGCTGCTAAAAGTGGGCTCTAAGACAGCGCTTTGTGAAAGCGCTGCTAAATGGGGGATGGTTGGGGGGAATATGCAGGGCTTATGAAAGCGCTGCTAAAAGTGCTGCTGAAGGGAGCCTTTAGCAGCGCTTTTTCCATAAAAAAACGCTACCTTTACCTTTAGTAGCGCCACTTTTGGTAGCGCTTTAAAGCGCTCATAAAGGCAAAAAAAGCGCTGCTAAAGGTCTTTTTTGGCATAGTGTATTTTCTCTAACCCCAAATTGCATAACGCAATTTCTTATTGCAGTTTAACAACTATTTCACAACATCACATTTCTTTTCTGATGTGAAAGGTCAGACAAAACTGCAATCACAGAACTACTAAGAACACTTATCTCCGGATCGAACCAAAAGCTTTGATACTAATTGTTGAGAAAAACAAACAAAACATAGAGAAAAAAAGAGGAACACAATTACAACACAAGAACATAACGTGAAAACTTCAAAACCAGAGAAAAAAATCACGGTTGTTGTCAATAGACAACCAGAGAATAACACTATATGAAAATTGTTATAACTTATAATATACATTCAACTAACTCAGACCTCCAGCTTACTCACACCCTCAAAAACAAATATTTAAATACATCTCACAATACTTTAATACAAGAGTATAAAAGAATAAAGAAAGTCAAATAAAAGTTTAAAGTGTTTTTGACTGATAAATTTTAGAATGAAGAACTTGAATTATATAGATAGTCTTGGACTTCCTCTTCCATCACAAAATCAAACAATGTTAAACTTTAAAAAACTTGTATCTTATATTTAGCTTTGAACTCTTTCTTAATTTACAAAACTAAATGATGTAAAACTTCAAAAACATATATATTTTCCACCAATCCCAACAAAAAAAAAAAACATATTTTCTATTACACAATTCGTTATCACGGATAACCATCTATAATTAAAATTTTTTTAAACCATAACTATATATATATATTTTTTATAATTGTGTAAGTTCTCAATAAATATTAGTTCAATACTCAAGACATTAATAATTTAGAGTTTCATAAAAAGAACTCAAACGGTTGAGAAAAACTTATTAGTAATTAGTGATTCAATGTTGATATAATAATTTATAACTCCACACATGACTTATTTTAGCTCAAAATTTTATAAAAGCTACTCCATAAATCTTTATTCTAAATTCCTATTACATTTTAAATATAGTGAATAATCAATATATCTAATTTTTATATAATTTTAAAAAATAAAAATTGGAGTAATACAGCATCTAACATAAACTAAAACATCACTTCATAATATTCTTTTATGAAAAAACATTAAAACCAAACTTAATACTAATACTGAGTCCTCCGAAATTTGTGTCAACCAAACTAATTAAATTTCAAGTTATTCACATTAATACTAAAGAAAGTTGTTTCCATGAATTCATTTTTCATATGATTCTAAAAACTATATGAATGACAAAAAAAGTTGATGCCAAGATATTAATTTTATAATCAAACTAATATTAAAATCAAATTACTTTCTTTCTTTTAACAGTAGCAATCAGAATATAAACCCTCCACAACTTTATAGAGAGGGACAGAATTTCAAAAAGTAAAAAAACTAGACAGACAAGAAAAATGGAAGGTGGAAGAGGAGGGCCCCCAACCACACAACACAACACAACTGTTGAATGTTGAGAACATACAGACCTAGCTAGCTCCTCATTTTTTGAGTTACAGCTTTGAAGATTTAACTTTACGTTAGTTTATGATATACTAGATCATAATGAATGATTGTGTAGTGTAATGTAAATAACTTTTTGAAAACTAGTACTGATTCATGGTATAAATCTGCAACTAAGCATCACCATAGATACATACAGCTACAGTACTGGTAACCCTAGCTTCTTTCTAGGTTACTGTAACCCTAACTTATTTTATTTATTGTAATTTATTTACTTTTTTCTTTAGATCTTCATGTGTTTCTCTCATGGTGATGTTGGATATGTTGTTTGCAGGAGGGAAATTTTTTGAAGCTTTTTGGACTTTTGGCATTGGATCAAACCCTAACAACTTTTAAACCCTAGAAATTTAGCATGCAGGATCTTGTTCAAGTTAGAAGCTTTAGAAATGGTTATTATAACCATGAGGAGCCTGTTGTTGTTTATTCTTCATCAGAAAACCCTAACTTCTTCACTACTTTGAATCCTTTGGAGTATCAGGAGCAACTAGGTGCAAGTGCTGAAGAATCAAGTAGGTTATTCATGATGCAACAACATCATCATCATCAACAGCAGCAGTATGGTTCATATGCTAATTCTTTGATTGATTTTCATTCTCATGAACAAAAGCATGTGAGTGATTTTGGAAATTGGAGAAACAGTACTGTTCAACATCAAGTCAGTGATAGGTTTTTAAATAATGCAACAAATTCTATTCCTTGTGTTTATGGCGGTGATAAGCAACTAGGTCATGTCATGCACCATACTCCTACTTCTTCAACACTATATCAGAATCATTCTTTGCAAGATATTGTCAAGTCTATCACTTCCAATAGTTCAGATTCTCACATGACATCACTCATGCATCATAACAATGGTCAAGAGATTTGTGTAGTGAATGCTTCTGAACTTCAACATCAACCTAATCATTTAGAGTTTGGATGGAAAAATCAAACAGATTCGAATCCACAAAGCTTATCGTTATCACTCTCATCGAAGGCTCATGTTTCTAGAGATTGTGGAAAACCACTTCAAGATTTGGTGGTTGGAATAATACCTAACTCAAAGACTACTAGTTATGGAAATGTGGGTCCTCTTGGTCCTTTCACTGGTTATGCTACTATTCTTAAGAGCTCAAGATTCTTAAAGATTGCTCAAAATTTGTTGTCTGAGGTTTGCTGTCCAAAATTTGTGTCAACATGTGATGTTTCAGAGACTGAGGATACTTCTAAAGAAAGTCATTCATGTTCTTCATCATCTATGTTTCATGTTACAAAAGAAAATAGTGCTGATTGGGGATCCAGAAGTAGTTTTGGTGTTTCTTTGCGGCCAGATTATCAACAAAATAAAGCAAAACTTGTGTACATGCAAGAAGAGGTTTGTTTTTACCACTTGTGTCTATTTGTCTTTGATTCATTCATTTCAGAAACTTTACTTTGTAGTAACAATAGTATGAAAATTGGCCATGACATTGTTTTTGGGCTATGTATGTGAAATGATAGGTCAGTAGGAGATACAAGCAGTACCAACATCAAATGCAAATGGTGTTTTCATCTTTTGAATCAGTAGCAGGTCTTAATTCAGCCACTCCTTACATCACCTTGGCTTTGAAGTTAGTATCAAAACACTTCAAGAGCCTAAACAATTCTATTTCAAATCAGCTCAAACTTGTAACTGAAGTCATGCAGAATGATTCTTCCATAGCCACTACAAACAATAGTAGTCACCTTGTTGACACTAATAATGTGGCAAACGTAAGGTACATGGACCAAAGCATGCAAAAGAACAAAGTTGAGAAGGTTCTAACAGGTTTTCATGATCCACAACAACATGTTTGGAGGCCTCAAAGAGGCTTCCCCGAACGCGCGGTCGCGATTCTTAGAGCTTGGCTGTTTGAACATTTTCTTCACCCGTATGTTTGTTGCTTTGTCTTGATTTTTGTAGTCATGAATCTTTTTATATCTTGTTTGTCAAGGAAGTAATTAAGATTGACTTACGGTTCTTTGCAGTTATCCTACAGACACTGATAAACACATGCTGGCTACTAAGACGGGTCTTTCACGAAACCAGGTGGGAATTTACACCACTTTTTATTTTTGCTCGTTTTTGTTTAGTTTTCGTTCATCCAAATTTTATTTATATTGGAATTGTTCCTGTAGGTTTCAAATTGGTTTATCAATGCTCGAGTTCGTGTGTGGAAGCCTATGGTTGAAGAAGTACACATGCTTGACAAAAAGACAACAGGTACGAATGAGAATTCCAATCAGAATGAAGGAACTTCCGGCACTGAAGGTGGCTCATGCAACCAACCTAAAATGGATAAGACAGTGAACGGGTTTTTCATGCATTCAATACCTGAAAACCAAATTCAGGACATGGAGTTTGGTTCATCTATAGATAGAAGTGCAGATGAAAGTGCGATAAAAGAAGCAGAACAATGGCGAGAAGAGAAGCGGTCGAAATTGGAATGCGAAATGAGTTCAAGAATGGATGGAACACTGATGGATTTTTTGCCATATAGACATAGTGGACATGATGTTGGAGGATCACTTGGATCTGTTTCATTGACATTAGGTCTTAGGCATGGTGTTGAAGGTGTACAACCCCAAGAGGTTCAATTTAGACATCATCATCACCTTGGAGGGCAAATGATACATGACTTTGTAGGATGATGATCTTGCTTTGTAATGTGGTCTTGAGCATATTGAAATGAAAGTAGATAAAATTTGCTTCCAATGTTAACATAGACTTAAATAAATAGCTGATGCAACTTTCTTGGGGTTTTTTGTTTTGCGATTATGGCTCGTGTTGCCATATCTTTTTGGGTGTGATCATGTTTATGCTCTCATGTCTGCCTTATATTTTATTTAGTTATTATCCAAACCTATAGTATCACTTTTGTTTTGTAATTTTGGGCTGTGCTCAAGTATATTTTTGTCCTTAGGTGTGCTTGGTGCAAGTGTTTGGATATGTTTAAGCTGTGCCTGTTCCTAGCAAGTCGGACGACAGAAGTTGGTATGTTGAAGAACACCAAAATAAAGATTAAGATCAAGAAAGTGATAGAGGCCAAGATAAAATTCAAGATCAAGAACACAGTTAGATTTAAGTAAATCAAATTGAAGAATCAAACAATTCTCGTGAGGAATGAAAGACCACAAAAGGTCATTTAATTCTAAGTATATTTCTTAGTACTTTAATTAGATATGTAACAGTATGAGATATGCAATATTATGATTTTTGTTTATTAAATTGAGGCAAATGAAGTTAATGAAGCTCCCATTTATAAACATTGATATTTTGTTATTCAAATTTGCGTTATATCAATTTGAGAGATAGATATTTAGAAATGTGTTGTTAAACCTTTGTCTAAACTAGTGATTGTAACTAAATGGGTCTTTCAAAACAAATTGAGCTGAAATGACATTGTTATAAGAAATAAAATCAAACTTGTTGTGAAAGGGTACACTTAACTAGAAGACATAGATTTCGATGAGAACTATACCTAGATTAGAAGTCATAAGGATGTTTTTAGATTTTTCATACAACTTAACTAGAAGACATAGATTTCGATAAGAACTATACCTAGATTAGAAGTCATAAGGATGTTTTTAGATTTTTCATACAATTTAAATTTCAAACTTTTTAAATGGATGTAAAAAGTATATTTATGAACAGTTACATCTAAGAAGAAGTTTATGTTGATCAACCTTCTAACTTTTAAAACAAATTTTCTCCTAATAATGTCATCGAGGTGAAAAAGACTCTACGGTCTGAAACAAATCCCTAGAGTTTGATATGAACGTTTGAGAAAGTTTTTGTCTAAAAAGAATTTTCAAAGAGAAAAAGTTGATAGAACACTTTTAATTAAGAAAATTGAGCATGACATTTTACTTGTGTAAATATATGTCGATGATATTATATTAGGTGCTATTAATGAGTCATTAATCACACATTTTTTCCTGATATGATGAAGAATAAATTCAAAATATCTATGATGGAGACCTTTGGTACTTTCATCGATGACAAATTCTTCAATCAAAGGAAAGAACCTTCATCAATCAAGCTAAATATTGTAAGAACTATTAATAAGATTCAGTAGGGAAAAAGCAAAACCAAACTCAACTCCAATGAGCACTTTGTGTAATATGGATAAGGACAAAGGAGGAAAAACAGTTAAAAAAAGAAAATATTGATTTATGATCAATTCTTTCTATATCTTATTGATATTATGTGTGTTGTTTAGGCCTGACAATGAACCGAACTAACTCAAAAATAGTTCGAAATTCGATTCGACAATTAAATCGTTGAGCTAGGTTCATGAACCAAATGAGTTGAGTATGAGCGAAAAATTAAGTTCGTTAACTAAATGAGCTGAACTTGAACTATACATAGTTCGACTCGTTAGGTTTCATGAGTCAACTCGATTACATATCAGAAGAATTATATTGTCTTTAAGATTAGGTTAAAATATTTAATCCAAATCTTAGACAAATTTAATCTTCAATTTAGTAGTTTTTGAATTAGACTCTCAAATGTATCTCTTGAAAGTTGTGTAGGTTTTGAATTAGTAGATTTCGAAGATAAAGTTAAATTTCAATATGATAACTTTTATTTTATTTTAATATTTTATTTAAAATATATATATTTATTTAAAATGTCAAATATACTAAAAAAATATAAATATTTTAAAAAATAGTTTTTAAGTCCGTGAATCATGTGAACTGAACTTAATGAGATGAACCTAACGAGTTGAACCGAACTGTTCGTGAACTTATAACGAGTCGAGTTTGAGCTTAAAAAAAGTTCGTGTCGAACTCGAACTCGAACTCGAATAATTCTTAGCGAGTCGAGCCGAGTTAAGGTGAGTTCGATTCGACTCGACTCATTTTCAGCCCTAGTGTTGTCTGTCTATGAGCATATTGTCAAATAAATCCCAAAGAATCATATCTTTCTGAGATCAAACTCATTATGAGGTACCTCGCTAACACACCACTCATAAATTAAAAAATTAATAGTGGTACTTGTCACTTGCTTGAGAACTAGCTTGTCTCTGTGCTTAGTAAGAAACAATCAAGTGTTGTATTATTCACAACTGAAACATAATACGTCGTTGTGGATAGCTATTGTGCACAAGTAATTTAAATGAAACAACAATCAAGTGATTATAGAGTTAATTTCAAAACAGCTCCGATAAAATGCGACAACACAACGTCATACATTGAGATTAGACACAATTTTATTATGGATCATGTCGAAAACACTAATTATTTAATTGATTTAGTGTCTTTATCTAAACAACTGGAAGATATTTTTACAAAACACCTTCCTAAAGAAAACTTCTTTTAATCAATCATGCATGAATTAACTTGTTAAGTACTTATTTACAATTTCCATGTACCATTTCGCAATGTGATATTTGTGTTCTATGTAATGTTTAGATCTTCTTTTTCTTTTCTTTTTTTTTTTAATACTTTTTTTATAATGATATAGAGAGAGATGTATACTCTTAAGGGGATTAGAGTATATACATTATTTATGTGTGAATGAGAGTTAACTAGTTTATTTATTTTTATATTTATTTTTTCTAGTTAAAAAAAAAGAGAATGTGATTTTCTAAAGATTTTGATGATGACAACTAAATAAAGAAAAGACAAGTTAAGGATTATGAGTCATTAAGCAAATGATAAGTTTGATTTTATAGCATTTTTAAAATTGCTATGATTAGAAATTACATGTGTTTATATGGTTTTATTTTCATTTTATGTTATGAGGATCGTTGCTTTTTGTATTTTAGAAAATTGTGGAAATCAAAGAATTATGACGCATATCAAAATGATCGAGGCCAATACTTAAAGATTCATGGGAATAGAGGAGAAAACATAGAAATTAAACTAGAGATAAGGAGAAATAAGAAGATATGTATTTCTAAAATACGCATGTAGTTTTTGTAGGCCAAAAGTTGATCAAAAGTGCAAACTTGACAGAACTACAGAGGCTTTTACATTGTATATGTATTCTCTAAAAACGACTATATTTTGGTTTTATTGGGTACATTTATTACCTAAATACGACAATAAAAGCCTCAGGGTCTTAGTTTTTCGTCTTTTGACCGTTTCGTTCTTTTCTTCCGTTGCTTTGTACCAAAGGATCATGACTTAAATTCGTGTAATTATCCATCATTAGGATTGTTGTGCTATACACATGATTTTTGAACCTTATTTATAGCTCTTTTATATTTTCTACATTGTGCATATTTTATTTTTCTCTGCATATTTTATTTTCTCTCCGAAAACTCCTTTGGAGCAAAACTTCTATACATTTTAATTAATCAATAATTCAGTTTTTTTTCTATTATATCTCTATCTTTTGTTCGTCTTTACTTTACTTTATGCAAATATTTACATTCATGATTATGTTTGCGCTTTCTAAAATCATGAATGAGTAGTCTCACTTAAACTTAAGGTCATTAGAACTGTTCAAAAGTTAACCTCATGTAAAACAAAAAGTCCCAAAGCCATGTTTACAACTTTTTGTTTTACAATGTGATTTTTACATGCTTCACAAATTCCTCTACGAAAGTATAAACAACTTTATATATCAACGCATAAAAATCAGATGAATAGTGTGAAACATGAAAATAATTTAAACATATTCGAGAAACGCATACCAAAAGTTGAAAATATTAACTTACTTATACTAGAATTTTGAAGCAAACCCACCCAAAAGTTTAGTCAAATGATCAAGGAAGATCTCCCAACTAGAAGCTGAGTTACCAATCAAAGAATCTTCTATGTTAGCTTTCACCCACAACAACACCGACGCTTCCAAATAATAGAGAAATCTTCTAAGCCTTTAATCGACGCTGAGGAATTAAAAGAATTTGAAGGATCTGCATATCAACTTGACCACTATTGAATAACCTATAGAAATTTTGGAATTCATGACAATTGATGTATGAATTTTCATTTTTTCTGCATGAATTGGAGTTTGAACTTTGTTAAATCTGATCACATTTTGAGCCATCCAAATCGTGTTAAAAGTGTGAAAAATCGCAGTTGTTGCAAGAAACTTCACATCAGAATAGCATCCACCAACACCCAACCTGATCTACAATTCAATCTTGTTGGTTAGAAATATAGAAGAGACTAGGAAACATAATAGGCAAAAGGGATGACCCAACCCACAGATCCTTCCAAAAGAAGGTTTGAAAGCCCGGTCTTACTTTCTTACTAAGACTAACCTCCAACTGATTAGAAGCATCCTCGAATTTTGATCCGATGAGAGATACCCCTTTCAACTAGGATGAGGAAAAAAGAAAGTAAGGTATAACGTGGTAGTTCATCTAAACTAGTATTTAAAAACCACTCAATACATGAAAAATATTCTACAACGCTTCTCAAAAGTGGAAACAATCGTTGACTTAAAATATATTTGAGTTAGTTTATATGAGTTTATATGATGATATAAAATTTTGAGACTGTTTAATTTTTTTATAAATACATCATATAATTTTTTAAATTATTTTATTGAATGTAATTCTAGTTTAAGCTAATATTTATGTTTGTTGTAACTACCGAAACTGAAAACTGTCAGTTTGTATAGTCCTTCACCCGCTATTGCAAGTATTCTTAGTTTGCCGAATAAAAAGCAAACATTTTATAGCTTGTAGTTC